GGTTGGAGCCAAACACCTTGTGGAGGGTGGAGAGGAAGCTTAAAAAGGCGACTGTAAGACTTGAATGTTGTCGGGTGAAGAATTTCATGTATTGGACACCTGCCAGATGCCTGAACACAGATGCGACGAGCAGAGCGTCTGTGATTCTTGGGGTCCCTCCTCGACAATTCTGTCTCCTGGGGGGCAGAGGAAACCAGGAGGCCCGAGGTTCAGGTCCAGGAAGCCCTTATTGGTGGTGTGACAGTAAACAAACCTAGGAGAATGGGACCTTGTCCCTTGCCGTTCCTTAATAGCAGCAGAACATGTTTGAACGCAATCACCATTTCCCAAGACTCTGGAAAAAATGTCAAGAAATTATTGGTACGCACATGTACTCAGAGACCCTAAGAAGGAATATAAAATGAAATTTCAATAATATTGTCACAGATAATTTTTTTATTGACTTCCTAATAGTTTACATCAATGTGAGATTTCAGTTGTACATTATTTCTTGACTGTCACCATGTCACAAATAATTTTAATGAAAAGAGACAGAGGTGGGCATTCAGAGAAATCAAGGTTGCTAAAGAGAGAGGTATTTCAGTCCAGATTTTTAAAAGCTACTTTCACAGCAACTTGAAGGCGAGTCGCATAATTTCAATTCCAAAGACAAAAAAAGTAAGTTTGCTTTTATTTTCCTGGAGGAGTGCTTGGGACCAGAGGCAGCTCAGGGGCACACGGTAAGGAATGGGGAGCCGCGAGGAACAGGCCCATCGGCCGGGGAAGAGAGTGCAGCTTTGACAGAGAGAAGTGAACACAGCCTTCAGGGCCGGGCTTGCTTCTGTCCTCCCCACCAGGGTGTCACTCTTCTCCCTGGACAAGCAGAAGACAGTCGTAAAGTGACAGCTGAAGGTCAGGGCTGTGATGGCAGGGTGGCATCTCAACTCTTTAAAGGCCTTCGGCTCGGGTAATATCACTTTCCAGGAGACTCAAAGCCCTTGTAGAAAAGATGGGGGACAGTTGTCAGAAATCTTGGAGCTTGGGGAACAACTGGGGGCCCTGAGGTTGGAGAGATGGTCTCCTGATCGTGGTACCCGGGAAGACGGCACTTTTGGAAATGGCGGACTTGCTGTACGAAGGGCAATTCTGGAGCTGGCTGCTTTAGGCAGGGTAGTCAGTGTAGACAAGGGAAAGTGCAGTCAGAGCTTGGCCATCTACCCCTGCGTCTGCCTCGGGACTGAGACTGTGTAGACAGAAACGTGGGACAAGGCGGCTAACTGAGTGGATTTGACAAGGATGGCAAGAAATCGACACCTGGCTAACTCACCTGCAGATCAAAGTCGACCCTCATCGACTTTGTTTTCCCATCACTCCCCAGCTCTCCCTGTCCTGCTTCAGACCCTACCCCACCCAGTCGTTTCATTTCACTTTCCCCGCAGAGGCTTCCAAGAATGCTGCCAACTCTTCATGGTGTTCTGTGCCATGGAGATTTGCACCGGGGGCTGCAAACAAAACAAAACAAACAAAAATGTCCTTACACAGTCATACCTCCCTGCCAGACTGCCACATCTGAGTTGGCTGGTGGGGACAATGACTACACCAAGATTCCCAGAAAAGAGGGCATGGAAAGAGGTGTTATAGACCCAAGTGTGGTGCTAAGACTTGATGAAGTGATGTATCTCGATGTATCTCTATGTCTCTCTGTCTAGGTATCTATCTGTTGTTAGTGCCATTCAGTTGATTCTGACTCCCAGCGCCCCTGTGCACAGCAGAGCGGAACCCTGTCCAGTCTTTTTGCACCATGCTCTCACCCCCCTGCACTGTATCAGACCATGCTCCACTGCTGTTCACAGAGTTTTCACAGCCAAGTTTTTTGGAAGTGAGCGGCCAGGTCCTTCTTCCTAGTCTGTCTTAATCTGGAAGCTCCACTGAAACCTGCCCACCATGGGTGACCCCGCTGGTATTTGAAATACCGGTGGCAAAGTTTTCAACATCACAGCAACGCACAGCTGCCACAGTGTGACAACCGACAGGTGGTAATGTGGTTCCATGACCGGGAAATGAACCCGGGTCGTGCAAGGGAGCACCCAATCTTAACTACTAGACCACCAGGGCTATCTGTCTGTCTGTCTATCTGTCTATCTATCTATCTATCTATCTACCTATCTATCTGTCATCTATCAATCATCTATGTAGTGTACTTAGCATGGGCCAGTGAAATGACAGACTCTAAAGAATTTCCTGAAGAAAGGAGACCGCATGGCTTCCCTAGGAAATGTCGGAAGTCATCTGGTCCGACCCTCGCGTGTTCCATTGAGAACACCGGGGACCAGAGAGGGCCAGTGACTTATACCAGGCCGTGCACCAGCAGAGCCAGGACAAGCAATTGGGGTGCTCGCCTGGGCGTTCTCCCTGCACGGCTGCCTCTCTTTGTTTCGGAGACAAGTTTAACCCACAAGAAGGTGTGGAGGCGTCCTTGACTCCTCTCCTCCTCTCACATCCCAAACCCAATCTGTCAAGAAGTCTAGTTGGCCCTTTCTTGAAATTCCATCCAAAGCGGCCACTTTCCCTGCCCTCCAGGGCTTCTCCCTGGCCTGAGCCTCCGGCCGGCTCCCAGGATGCCTGAGAGACTGAGCCTTCTCCCTCCTTTCTCCGCTGCCCGCCCTACGGTCTGGTTTCCTGGCAGCTGTCACATCCCCGTGATCATGTAACACGTCCACTCATGTCCGTCTTCTGCACAAAGGCCCCCGAAGCTCCATGCTGCACTCAGTGGGAGCTGAAGTCCTCATGGTGGCCCCTCCCTCCCTGTGTCCCCTGGACACGCCCACGCTCAGACCTCTCTGTCTGTCTCTCTGTCTCTCTGTCTCTGTCTCTCTCTCTCTCTCGCTGCTCAAACCACACTGGCCTCTGTGCTCCTGGTGGGCGCACACCAGGTGTGTTCCCCCCTGAGGCCTTTGCACTGGCTCTTTCCTCAGCCCACATGGCTCACCCCCTTACCTCCTCAAAATCTGCTCAATGTCACCTTCTCAGTGCAGCCACTCAGGCCACCCTGTTGAAGCTGGACCCCATCTTCCTCCCAGCTCTCCTGAGTCCCCTTATCCTCTTCTATTTCTTCTTTCCATAACACTTATGCCCATTAATATATAATTTATTCATTTATTAAGTTTACTGTTGATCTCTCCCACTGGAATGGAAACCCATGGAAGTGTATATCTTTGCGTGTTTTATTCATGGATGCATCCCAGGCTCATAGAGTGGAGCCTGGCAGCTGGTACCTGTTGAATGAAAGAAACAAACAGAGACCACCGTGAAACAGGTCCGGTCCAGAGCATCAGTTTTGAGTTCTGGTTTCTCTTGCTTCCCTGTTCCACGTGTCGGTGGAGGAGGCCCCTTGCCTCCCGTGCACTCAGCTCTTCTCCCCACCAGGGAGGGCTAGCGTGAGGGTTGTGCTTCTATAGTGCAAGGGGTGAGGCAGCCGTGTGGCCACAAGAGCAAAAGACTGGAGGCAGTCGTTTCTGCAGCAACTTGGTTTATAGGGTGTCTCCTCAGCACCCCCGGATGTGGTTCCTCCTTGGTGCTTAGTCCACCAGATGCAGAAACAGGGCCCTCATCTCAGACCTGCTCTCCTGGGCGGGGCCTGCTCCCTCTGGCCATCCCTGCACTCCCCACATAGCATGTGGTTCTGTCCTCGTGTCTTCCTGCTGTGAGGGGTGTGTGTGTGTGTGTGTGTGTGTGAATGAGAGCGAGACAGAGAGCAGAAAGATCCCCGTTCTCTCTTGTTCCATTTGGCTCTTTCCTTATGCCCCCTCTCCAAGCCTGTTTCCTGAAGAGGGAGCTCTGGAAGATTAGTTCTTGTTCTTGTCTTCGTGCACAGAGATGCTCCGTAATGAGAGCTTTCCTCGAGGGCCTGGGGAGCTGGGGGCTTTGGCGTCATCATGGTCGGGGCTGCCAATGGTTTTCTATCAAAAAGGCAGGTGCTTTCCCCATTGGGTCCCGTTTCCATCCTGCTCCTCCGGGTGTGACATGGAGGCACCCTGGAAGACGGGGTGGGAGGCGGGGGGTGAGCATCCCTGGCCGAGGGCCCCTGTCTTGCGAGGGATCTCATGAATTGGTCATTTCTATGATTGTCAGCCTTTTGTGGTGGCTCTGCCTGGCACCCCCGCCTCTGTTCTCTCTGCCAACTCTTACCACCCTCTAGGACCTGCCGCAGATCTCACCTTCATGACCTCCACCTGCTGTGAGTGGGTGGCCTCCGCGGAGGGCCAGCTCTGTCCACAGGCTTGATTTCCCTCAGCATCCAGATGAAGGCCTTGTTCTGGGTGGACCTAGCCCTTGCCTGTCAATGAAGGCGCCTCCTCCAGGACAGCTCCCTGAGGCCGGCTCCTGGGCCTGGCACGCAGGGGAGGGTCAACCAGAAGCTGTGGACTAGGTGAAGAAGCTCTCCACACACTGGCCATTGCCTCCTGTGTGCAGTCTATCCAAGCAATGCTGCCTGAGGACCTACTAGGTGCAGGTGGCCATGGGGGATGTAAGAGTAGATAAGGCATGGTTTCTGAATCCGGGGGCCTGGGCACCCCCAGTCACTCCTCTGTAAGCTGGGATGTGGTTAAGAGCAGTTACAGGCAAAGCTGGAAGAGGCTCGCTCCACGTGTGCTCACCCTGGAAGGATGGGCCTTCAGGGAAGCAGGAGATCTACCTGGAAGGAAGGGCCAGTGGGACCTCGGTGGGACATGGGACCCTTCAAGCCTCAGGAATGCTCTGGCCCGAGCATCCACTGGCCTACATAGGATAATGACCCCAGGTCTGCTCTCAGGGTGGGAGGGGAAGTGGGGGCTGAACAGATGTGTCCAGGCCTGCAGGGTCGGGAAGGCAGGGGACAGGTCCGTGTGGTGCAGGGTCTCCTCCATACGCCTATTAAAGGGGCAAGTTTCAGCTTTCCTCTCAGTCTGCCCAGCGGGAGATTCCCACGCTCGTAAAGGGCATTAATAACTTTCTCCTGCCTTTTATGTTGTCGGGAGGCCTGTGTCTACCCCATAAAAGGCAGGAGCACGACAGGTCTCCGGGTGAGACCCGGCGTCCTCCAGTCCTCTCCACTGCCCCAAGCTGCCCTGCAGAGCTGCGGCATGGCGAGCCGTTCCTACCGCACCAGCTCCAGCTACGGGGGCAGGAACTTCAGCTCCTGCTCGGCTGTTGTGCCCAAGCCTGGGGCTTGTGGCGGCACAAGCGCCCTGGCCTCCCGTGGGGGCAGCCCTGGGGGGCCGGGCTACCGGCGCCTTGGGGGCTTTGGCAGCCGGAGCCTGTGTGCAGTGGGGTCCCCGCGGGTTGCCGTGAGCTGTGGATGGCCCCTGCGAAGCGGGGGAAGCTTTGGCTACCGGGCAGGGGGCCTTTGTGGGCCCAGCCCGCCCTGTATCACGACCGTGACAGTCAACGAGAGCCTCCTGGCGCCCCTCAACCTGGAGATCGACCCCAACGCACAGTGCGTGAAGCACGAGGAGAAGGAGCAGATCAAGTGTCTTAACAACAAGTTCGCTGCCTTCATCGACAAGGTGGGCCTGTGGGCTTGTTCCCCAGGGCGGTGGATTAGGAAGGGGCAAGGGGTGTGGAACCCAGTAATGGGCTGGGTTCAAATTCTCTGAGTTCTAGCCCTGCTAACGATGAGGACGTGGCATTGAGAGCGTGGCTGAATCAGGGTCTTGGTTTTTAAATGCAATAATGGAAGTGAAAGCCCCAGAGAGAACAGCATGGGTTATCGCTGCTGTGTAACCTGCCCAGCAAGAGCTCACTGTGTGTCTGTGGCCCCATCTTCTGGATCTCAGCCACCACACAGTGAGAGGGGCTGGGTAGGCATCTCTGCATAGGCTGGCGTCTGATCCCCTCCTAGGAGATGCCACCAACCCCAGTGTGAGAGAGAAGCCAGGACGAAGAGGGGCCAGAAGCCCCTTTCCTGCTCCCTCCTGGTGGGGACATGGTAGGAAGGCTGTGAATTGCCAGGACCCCTGCCCCAGATGCCCGCCCCACCCAACACTTACAGGGATTAAAGACCTCAGTTGAGAGACTGGAGGGGAGGTCCACGAGGGGCTGTTGAGTTGCACTTCTCTGATGCTGCCGTCTCCCCGCGCCTTCTGGTTGGATACACAGCTCTGTTTTCCTCTGACCCAGTGACACCCTCTCTGAGAGCCCACAGTCTGATCTCTGGGGGAGGCCGGCCACTGAGGTCCAGGGAGGAAAGGCTCCTCTTCCAGGCCTGACTGGCCTGCACATCTCCACCCTGGGCCTTTGTGAGAGGCGCGCGCCAGGGTGACGGTGGTGCGAGCTTTGCTCTCAGACAAACACCGCCACCAGCAGTGGGCCTAGCTGTGAGCAAAGGCGCTCTGTGCATGCTTTCTTACTGCGCTGCTGCTGTCCAAGCCTCTCTTCCCTTCCATTGGCACAGAGAAGCTGACTGAGGCTCATGCGGTTATTCATTGCACAAGGACACCCCCCAGGGTGGGGGAGGTCGATGTCCAGCCCAGGCTCTGCTTGCTGGGCTGTGAGCCCTGGCAGGGGGCTGCGTCTGCCTGGAGGGGCGCCTTTTCCTAATTTGCTCAAAAGGGTGCAGACTTGGGCTCTTTGCACGTGGCCTTTTGGGCATCACCCAGATCTGCTGCCCTCTCTGTCATGAGGGGTCAGTTCTGGTCTGGGCAGGGAGACTCACACTGCTGCACCCGGCTGGCTTTCCCTCCCTTGGGGTTGCTGACAGCCACCCACCTCCTCCCAGCATCCTTCCTTGGAGATGAGCTCCAGGTGTGCAAACAGCATTGCAGTGCTGGGGCTAAGGCTGCAGGGCAGGCAAGTCAGAGCTGCCTCCACGGCCTGGGCCTGCACGTGAAAACCCAAGGCAGGTGCCTTTGGGATAATCAGAGTTTTGGTTGCTTCTCCCACAAGCATGGACAATTGAGAGTCGCTTTATGCCAGGCTCATACTCCCTAAGGTTAGGGCTTGAGAAGAGATCACCTAGTTTAGGGCGGTAGCTGTGTGGGGCCTAGAGGATGCACGAACGAAGCCAGGCTGAGAGGCACGCCCGCCTAGAGGGGCAGCACAGCGACTCACCGCCAGATGCAGGCCAGTATCCCTCGAGATTCCTGTCTGTCAGGGTCAGGAAATCAGGAGTCTGGCCTGAAATCTCTCAATTACGAAATGTTGGCGATGAATCTGATTTTTATAAAACAGCATGCAGGCCAAATAAACCATGCCTATGGGCCAGAGAGGGCCTGGGGGCTCAGTGTACACTTGCTGACGTCTTCCCACGGCCTCAGTTTGCAGTGAGGTCCACAGAGAAGGAGGCACAGTGGCTTGGATAGTGGCAGAGCTGGGTAGTGAGAGAGCTCCTAGCTCCTGGTCCAGGGTCCCCTCCGGGGCTCCTGTGCCCCAGGATCAGAGGGGGAGTCACGGTGGGTGCATTTCTTCATCACTGCCATAAACATGCTCACAAACTCAGCAGCTTTAAACCACACAAACTTATTATCTCCTGAGGCTGAAATCAAGGTGTTGGCAGGATGGCGCTTCTTTCTGGAGGCCCTGGGGGAGACCTGTTTTTGGGACATGCAGGCTTCTGGCAGAATTGAGTCCCATGTGATTGCAGGACCGAGGTCGCTGTCCCCTTGCTGGCTGGCTGCTGGAGGTGGTTCTGTTTCTAGAGGCCGCCAGCATTCCTTGGCTCACGACCCCTTCTCCTTCCATCTTCAAAGCCAATGAGAGTGGCTGAGTACTTCTCATGTTTCAAATCTCTCCTCTGCCTGCTTCTTCTGAGCATCTCTCTCACCCTCCTGTCGTCGTCTTCCACTTAAAGGCCCATGTGACTACTTTGAGGCCACCTGGACAGTTCAGGATAATCTCCTGATTTCTAGGTCCCTAACTTTAATTCCCCCTGCAAGGTCCCTTTTGCCATGGCATGCAATATATTCACAGGTTCCAGGGATGGGACATTTTTGAGGGGCCATTTTTGGTATACCACACCTGAGCTGGGGTATTTTTTCAGAATCAGATGTTATTTTGTTCTGTGCAGCATAAACAAATCACACATAAATTGTGTGCCCTTTCTGGGAGATGAGGATGTGGCGGGGGGAGTCACCTGGGGAACGGTTGTGACCCACACTTTCAGACTTTGCCAAATGATTTGGCCTTTGGGAGAAGGTCACAGGCTGATGCAGGTCAGGGGCCACCCCCAGGGGCAGAGAGGGCTCTGGGGGGCCAGGCACCTCCCAGGGTTCCCCCTGAGTCTCCTTCCCCCATCCCGAATGGCAGGTGCGCTTCCTGGAGCAGCAGAACAAGCTGCTGGAGACCAAGTGGCGGTTCTACCAGGACCGCAAGTGCTGCAACAGCAACCTGGAGCCGCTGTTCAGTGGCTACATCGAGACGCTGCGGCGGGAGGCTGAGTGCGTGGAGGCCGACAGCGGGAGGTTGGCCTCGGAGCTCAACCACGTGCAGGAGGTGCTGGAGGGCTACAAGAAGAGGTGAGGCGGCCAGGCTGGGTGTGGTCATAGGCATGGGGTAGGTCTTGGCACAACTCTCGTGGAAGTGGAGACAGCTGAAGGTCAGGGTCCTTCCAGGCTGCCTATCTATCTGACGGCTCTGCTTTGTCCGTCTGCTCCATCTTGTCTTGGCTCCCAGCTCTTGCGGCCCCATCCTGGGAACTGGGGGAAGATTTGGAGAGAAAAGCTCCCAGCCTGGGAGGGGTGGGGCACACATCCGGGGCACAGACTGACCCAGAGATGGAGGGAAAGGAACAAATGAAACAGGCAGATGGAGACGGACAGGGCTGGAGAGTAGAATTTGGGAGCAGTCAGCGCTAGGATGGGTAGAAAAGGAAGGTCCCTGGAGGAATTCTTGAAGGTGATCTGGCCGATGCCATTCAAGGTGTCTGATGAACTTGTATAATTCTTTTATTTACAGATAAATCATCAGGCTCTTGTTGTGCAAGGCTCCACAATTCAAAGGCCCACATAAATCTTCCGTTGTAACGCAACTTCTTAATTTTGACCATTAGCTAGTTTAAACTCAGCAGGTCACTGTTAGCTTGTCCCTCTTTACCTGGTAGATACAGACAGAGTGAAGGGTGATTTTGACGTAACTGGTCCTGGTAATTCTAATTGGAAGTAATTAGAATTCTTGTCTTGGAAGATCAGGTTTTCCCAGCCAGAGGGACCCAGCAATGGGTTTTCACTTCCCTTGGGGGGATGCAAATTCAGACACGACTCTGTTCGCAGGTGTCAAAGTCTGCCTCGCAGTCTGGGGGTGTGAGGGCCGGTAATGACAGGGCTCACAGTTTACAGCAGCCCAAATTACCCTGTCATTAAAAAGCTGTGAAACCCCGCTCTGGGAACTCTGGCCCCCTTCTCACCTGGGGCAGGGCTGCCCTGGGGCGGAGACCTCATGGACAAGAGCAAGGGATGGGCCAGGCCAGTGGAGGAGGGTGGTGGGAATGCCCCCACAGTCTGGGCATGGTGGCTTGTTCCGGGATTTCCAGTCTTGGGGTGCTGGGGGAGGGGTGGCTCCATGGAGCTTTCTGTTTTGGACGGTTTTAGGGTTGTAAGGGCCCCCCAGGGTCTGTCTTTCAGTCATCCCACAAACATTTACTGAGGGCCTTACTACACCCCACCCAGGCCATTGGACTCAAGGCGCAGAGAGAGTAAACGCCTCACCTAAGGTTTTGCAGCACATTCAGTCCAAGCTTGGACCAGCAACCAGGGGCTTGGACTCCATGTCCAGGGCCCTTTTGATGAGTTCTTTGTGGCGGAGAAATAGAAGTCCCGAGGGGCCAAGCGTCTCCTCCAGGGTGCACAGAGAGTCGAGTCGAGGGCCCTCATCCCCGGGGCCTCACCTGTGCCCTCTCTCCTCAGGTATGAAGAAGAGGTGGCCCTCAAGGCCACGGCAGAGAATGAGTTTGTGGTGCTGAAGAAGGTGAGCGACTCTTCCCACGTGGCGGGAATTAAATCCCGTGCGCTGGGCGCTCGGAGGCTGAGCAGCTTGCCGAGTTTGCCTCAGTCTGGTTGTGGCGGCTGAGCACTCGAGTCCCCTGGCGGAGGGAGATGGTCAGCCGGTCAGGCTGTGGAAGTCCCCTTGGCCCCTGTGCAGGGACCCAGACCCTGCTGATGGAAGCTTCTTAGAAAGAAAACCTCATCATGCACTGTTTGCATTATTGTAAACTCCCTGATTAGCTGAAATGGTCACTTTTAAATCCTTTTCCCTCTCGCGTGGACATTGCCTCCTGCCATCATCCCCGATGGGGGAGTGCTGGTTCTCAGCTTGCTGGGACTCTTGTGAGCCGTGGATCTCACTCAGTGCAATTGCAGGTGATGAAAAAACCAGAGGGAAAACTGCTAATGATTTCTCTTTGGTTTCAAATTGGTGAGTTGCCAGGTATACTAACGCTCTTTAACAAATAATGTGCTTGCCGGACACCTTATTTGTGAGCAGTCACGGAATGGAGAAAGGGCTGGTAGAAAATCCACTTGGTCTCAGGCAGCGAAGTCAGCTATTTGGGTGTTGGGCGTTGCCTGACCTGGGCACCAAGGACGACCTGTGGGAGAGGTTTGCCCGCGGCTCTGTGACGGCCACATGGTCACGCTCCGTGGGCCAGTTTGGCTCACAGCAGCGGCAGCCCGATGTTTCGGGCTGTGATATTAGGTCATCTGCTTTAGCAAGGTTCCCAATTCTGATGGAAGTGGAGAAAAGTCTGTGGGGTTCAGACTTCTCTCTACTTCCTATCCCAGGTGGTCCCACTGATGTTTATGTGATGGGAGGTAAGGTCGGTGGCAGACAACAAAGGCCTTGTGCCTCCTAGAGGGGCCCTGAAGGTGAAGACGAGAAGTCCAGCTTAGACTCAGAATTGCAGGGTAGATGGTCAGAGAGCTGGGCCAGAAGATGGCCTCAGGGCCCCTGGAGCACGCAGAGGTCCAGGGACACTGAATGACCCACGTCCCACCCTCTCCTGTCTGCCTCCATCAGGACATAGACGGTGCCTATCTGCGCAAGGCTGACCTGGAGGCCAATGTGGAGGCTCTGAAGGAGGAGATAGGCTTCCTGCAGGCCCTCCACGAGGAGGTGAGTCTCTCCCCATCTCTGGAGGAGCCAGTGAAGGAGCAGACGCAGGAGGGTGTTCTGTCCTGGTGCCCGGGTTCTGGGGAGAGCTGTCCCCTCCTTATTCTTCCAGGACCTCACATCTTTTCCTTTTGTGAGCAGGGGAATTTTCTCCTGTTCAGGCCTTTCTTCAAATGGAAATGGGTGATGCCTTTCCTTTAGAATGATTTGAAAGACTGTGGGGGGTGGGGGCTGGCCCCGTGGCCGAGTGGTTGAGTTCGTGCTCCACTTTGGCGGCCCAGGGTTTCGCTAGTTCGGATCCTGCAGGCAGACATGGCACCACTTGTCAGGCCATGCTGAGGCGGTGTCCCACATGCCACAACTAGAAGGACCTACAACTAAAAATACGCAACTATGTACTGGGGGGATTGGGGAGAAAAAGCAGAAAAAAATAAAATAAAATAAAAAGAAGATTGGCAACAGTTGTTAGCTCAGGTGCCAATCTTTGGAAAAAAAAGAAAGACTGTGGTTCTTTGCCTGTCTACACAGCACGACACGAAGTGGAGATTTGACAATATAGGTAAAGATGGTATATAGATATGGTAATATTTTATTAATTCAGGAAGTGTGAAAACCCAATTAGAAAACCCTGGACTCTAAATCCGATTGGTTGGGTTGATAGGAAAGCCACAGCTCATCTGGATGGTTCAGGCCCCAAGGGGAGGGATCGGTCTGTCCCTATGCATAGGCATCGGCCTCTGTTGATCCAGGTGTTAATGGAATGCCACCTTACTCGTGGCCTTGAGGCCATGGTCCAAGTTCTAGCTTTTTCCTCTGAAAGCTACACTAAAATTTTTCCTGACTTGCCAGTAGTTTTCTAATTTATTTCCTAAAGTTTGGGAGTTGGGACTGTTTTTGGGATTACCCAAGGAGATGGGAATGGGAGCAGGATTTGGAGATGAGCACACTGGCTGTTGTCTCCGACAGGAAATCTGCCTCCTTCAGTCACAAATCTCCGACACCTCGGTGGTGGTCAAGATGGACAACAGCCGGGAGCTTAACATGGACTCCATCGTGGCTGAGATCAAGGCTCAGTACGACGATGTCGCCAGCCGCAGCCGGGCCGAGGCCGAGTCCTGGTACCAAACCAAGGTGGGCTGGGCTGGGCAAGGAGGCTAGCCGGAACCTGGAGCTTCCCCGGGAAATGTACCCATGCATTCAGTGGGGCTGCAGCGGAGGTCGAGCAGTCCAGGGGAAGGAGGCAGGACTATTGCAGAAGAGCAGTGGGCTGGCTCTCCGGAGGGACATCCCAGCACCCTCTCTAGCTACATTACAATCAATGGCTGTTTCTGCTTGTTTGTCTCCCAACCTGCAGTGCGAGGAGATGAAGGCCACAGTGACCCGGCAGGGCGAGAATCTCCGCAGAACCAAGGACGAGCTCAGCGAGCTGAACCGCATGATCCAGAGGCTGACGGCGGAGGTGGAGAATGCCAAGCAGCAGGTGAGGGACGCGGACACCCACTCCATGCACCTGCTGATTCCGATCTGCTTTCTGCCTGCCATCTTTGGGGAGGCTTCTAGTTTAACCACCTGCATCCGAAGGACCAACAGTGCACAAAACATTTGAGGCAGAACGTTGGTCTGTCTACCATCTCTGAATCTTGCTCTTAGTTCCCTCCATATCCCTTCACCATTTCTCTCCCCTAAACACACCTCTGGCAACATGGTCTCCCGCTTTCTCTCTCTCTCCCCACCTCTCTTGATGGACTCGAGGTGCATGGACCTGAACTGATCACACACCACTCTGTTTAGAGGGCACACTACCCCCATTTGTGCGTTTCTGTAATTTGAAATTGTCTATTCTTCCTCTTCAGTTCCATTCCCACCCCCCCCATCCCCAGCACTCATTCTCTCGTATTAGTGTACGTCCTTGTAGTCCATCTTTCGTACATATATTTACATGAATGCATAAATAGGCTTTATATTTATATAAAATTTTTAGTGTTTTAGATTTACATAGTGATATTATGCCATAAATGTCATTCTGACTCCTCCCTTTGCGAGTTCACATTATGTCTTTGAAATCCATGCACGTTGCTCTAAATGGCCGTTTCCTGATTTCTGTTGCATGGAATTCTCTAATATTCATAGACCATCATTTCCTATTCATTCCTTTTTTGATACGTACTTAGTTTGCCTCCAAGTCTTTGCAACAACAACCAGTTGTATGTATTTTTATATGTGTCTCCCTGTGCACCTATATGGGAGACGTTTTGAAGGTATAACGCAGTAAGTGGAACTGTAGGGTTGTAAGACATGGACGTGTTTACTTTCCCTAAACACCAGCGGAGTGCCGTGCAGGCGTGCGCTCCCAGAATCTGCACGGGAGGGCTTCTGCCCCAGCACACGCTGTTATGGGACTTACAAATTCCTGTGGATCTAATAGCTGTAAATCTGCAGGCAATTGTTATTTTCATTTTCATTTCTCTGGTTAACTACGACGTGGAATGTCTCCTCATTCACTGACTACACATGTGCGTTTTCCTGTCATCTGCTCATTCTCCTATTGCAATTCTGGTCTTTTTTCTTGGTGATTTGCAGCACACCCTCGTCCATTCTCTCCAGACTATAGCCCCTTGTCAGTTATACACGTTGCAACGAATCTTCTCTCAATCACTAACTTGTCTGTTTACCTTGTCTGAGGTCCTTTACTAAACAGAAATCTTTAACCTGGGTGTGGCCAGCTCCATCAGTTCTTACCATAACGGTTTATGCTCATGAAAGTTGTGGGCACAGTGGAATCCTCATGCATTTTTGTCCTTACTTCTCACATTTACGTCTTATTCATCTGAACTTTATTTTTTCTATATACAGTGAGTGGGGTTTTAATTTAATTCTTCTACATATAGTAAGAAAATTTATTGTGTAATCCATCCTTTCCTCACTCGTTTGTGATACCGCTTCTATCACAGTACTGAGTTCCGCCATATACCTGAGTTTCCACATCTTGGCTATTGTGAATAACTCTGCAATGAACATGGGAACGTTAATATCTCTTAGAAATCCTGATTTCAATTCTTTTTTTTTTTAAAGATTTTATTATTTCCTTTTTCTCCCCAAAGCCCCCTGGTACATAGTTGTATATTCTTCGTTGTGGGTCCTTCTAGCTGTGGCATATGGGACGCTGCCTCAGCGTGGTTTGATGAGCAGTGCCATGTCTGCGCCCAGGATTCGAACCAACGAAACACTGGGCCGTCTGCAGCGGAGCGCGCGAACTTAACCACTCGGCCACGGGGCCAGCCCCCTGATTTCAATTCTTTTGGAGAAATATCCAGAAGTGGGATTCTGGTTCATATGGTAGTTCTATTTTTGATTTTTTGAGGAAGGTCCATACTATTTTCCACAGCCACTGCACCATTTTACATTCCCACCAACAGTGTGCAATTTCTCCACATCCTCGCCAATGCTTGTCTTGTTTTTTTAATAACAGCCCTCCTGACAGGTGTGAGGTGATTCTCCTTGTGGTTTTGATTTGCATTTCCCTGATACTCAGTGATGTTGAACATTTTTTCATATACCTGTTGGCTGTTTATATGTCTTCTTTGGAGAAATGTCTATTTAAGTCCTCAGCCCACTTTTAAAATTAGGTTATTAGTTTTTTTTGCCATTGAATTGGAGGCATTCCTTATGCTTCCCTAAGTGGGGCAGAAAGGAGGAGCCGTGGTCAGTGTGTTGGCATTGTAAATGGGAACTTCTTTTGGCACGCTGATCTCCGTGGACCAAAGATCGAGACCCCGTACATTGACCTCTGAAAACCTGGGCTTGGCACCGATTAACTGGTAGCTTAGGGCAAGTCACAGCCTTTCTGAGTCTCGGTTTCTTCATCTGCATAGTGGGAATAACAGCACCTCTTCTGATGAGCTCATAGAGTAACTCCAAGTGCAAATAAGATCACTCTGTGAAAGTGACTTGTGAACCAGCAACGGTAAACAAACGTGAGATAATATAATTATTATCGGTCCTATTCCAATGCCAGCATTTCCTCCCTCTAATGCCTCACCATGGACTTGAGTTTTGCAATAAAGTGGTACAGAAATGAAGGAAGAACGCCCCAAATGCCTATGTCCCTGCCTAGTTAATTTAACAGTTGACCATTTGGAATGGAGGTGAAACAGGATGACTCGCCGGGGTCCCCACAGTCTGCATCCTTCTCCAGCTCCTTCCGCCTCTGCTTCCCCACAGCGCTGCAGGCTGGAGGCGGCTGTGGCTGAGGCGGAGCAGCAGGGTGAAGCGGCCCTCAGCGACGCCTGCTGCAAGCTGGCCGGGCTGGAGGAGGCCCTGCAGAAGGCCAAGCAGGACATGGCCTGCCTGCTCAGGGAGTACCAGGAGGTGATGAACTCCAAGCTGGGCCTGGACGTGGAGATCGCCACTTATCGCAAACTGCTGGAAGGGGAAGAAATCCGGTGAGGATGGGGCTCAGGGTCGTTTCACACGCCCTCTCAGGTCTAGAAGAGGGCCTCGCTGGACCATCATCCTCCAGGCAGAGAGCGTTCTGACTGGGAAAGACTCTAGAATCACGCACTCCAACCACTTCCCCACTTTCAGATAGGGAAACTGAGGCCTGGAAAGGGGAAGGGGCTTGTCCAAACCCACAGCTAGTTGGTGGTAAAGCCAAATGGCACCAGCCTCCTGGTTAGCACTCTAGTGACCCTCCAGCTGCACCTAGAGCTCATCCCAAGGCAACCACTTTACCTTGTTGTCTGAAAGGATGTTTCTGCAATCCCATCTGGGTGGGTTCTAGAAGCTGGAGTCACTCAGAAGAGTCAGTAAAGGGCGTTTGACTTGGGATGCACAGACAAGGAATCCTGTCAACCTACACTGTCTGGTGTTCAGACCAGCAAACAGAAATGAGCAGCTCGGGTCCTTGCTTCGCAGGGGAAGATGGGGCAGACATCGATCCACCCTGCAGGTGACGGGGGTTACTGCCCCAGGGGGCTGTCGAGGCTCTCAGAGGAGGAGATAAAGAGCTGAGGGGGTAGAAAGGGGACTGTTTGAGCCAAGAATCCGGGACAGGTGCAGTCAGCATGGGAGCAGTGCATGGGCCTCCAGCCTTGAGGAAGCCAGATTGTTATTGCCTCCCAGCTGGGTCCCATTGCAGGGAACAGGCTAAACTGGGCAGAAGACTATAGAGGTTAGGATCATGGGCTGTGAGCCAGACCACCTGGGCTCCAACCCCAGCTCTACCACTCACCAGCTACGAACCTCTAAGCCTCAGTGTCCTAAGCTGTAAAACGGATAATCATGAAACCCAGCACTTTAGGCTGGTGCAAGGATTAAACGAATTAATGGAACTTAGGAAGCACAAGCAGGAGCAGGTTGGTATCAGAATAAGAACCGCTCCATCCAGGGTAGCGAGGCGGGCCGACGCCATGGAGAGGCTCCTTATTAACCTGGTCAGTGCTAGAAACCTGACATGAGTGACATCCCCGGCAGCTGGCCGTGCTGCTGGATTTGCACCGTGCTTGACCCAAGCAGGTGAACTTTTTGTCTATTTCATCAGGCCTTTGAGTGACTGTCTCTGACTTTGCACCTATAAGCCCCCAACCCACTCACCAGCATCCAGTGAGGGACCCAGCATTTGTACCATGAGAAGTATTTTCGTTGTGCTAATGATCATTCGTGTATTCATAACTCAGTCACATAATGAATGAGGCACTGTCCCCACCCCGTGAGATCTGCAAGGAGGTTTAGCATACTGGGCCTTCGTATTGTGGCTGTTGATCTCTTAATAGACTTTCTCCTCTTGGTATTTAACACATTTAATTGGATTGCACAAGCAATGCTCATTGCAGGGAATACAGAAAATAAAAACAGCCATTGTCACTCGACTCGGATACGGCTGATGCCAGCGTGGTGGCTCAACAGGCGCCATGATGGGTATTAGGTAGAGTCTTCTGGAAGGGCACAGTGCCAAGGCTGCGGCAAAGCCCGATTCACATGGCGGGAAAGGGAGCCCAAAGCACACGTCCTCACTGCAGGCTGCTGTGCGGAGGAGGGCTCTGAGCCAGGTCGGGTGGGAGCGACTAGGGCTTTCCTGGAGGAAAGGTTTGAAGCTGGGGTTTAAGAAAGGGGAGACATAGACCAGAAAGTGCAGTGGGTGTGAGGGAGGAGGAGCGTTAAGGAGAGCCCCCGTAGGGGTATAAAGGTCCCCTCATTAACGAGATGTTCATAGTGTTAGTAGCAAATTCTCTCATCGGATTTACTGTGCGTCAGTCTCTGCTTGTGGGCGCTTTCCAGGTAGAGCTTACGACAATCCTAGAAGGTGGGTTTTATCATCCCCATTTCACAACTAGGGAAACTGAGGCACAGAAAATTTAGGTGACCTGCCCAAGGTCACTCAGCTGGGAATTGGCTCAGCTAGATTTGAGCCCAGCTGGCCTGGCTCCAGAGTCCAGGTTCTCAGCCACTGCACCCTCCAGCTTCCCTCAGCATTTATCAAGTCAAGTGGACGTCTGGGGTAGCACTTAAAATTGTGGGATAAAAAATGGATCAATTTGGACGAGAGGCAAGTTTTTGCCAGGGGTGTCCAGTTAGGCAATTGCTACTCCCATCACCTATTTCTTTGCCTTTGCTCAAATTTCCAGCTGAGGGACAAGGAGGATGACCCACACCGCAACCCCATCTCTCCCTTTCAGTCCACCATGTTTCCACGGCGGAGAAGCAAACAAGGCCTAAGGTGGCCTTTTGGGTCCTGAAACCTAACATTCCCCTGTCCTTCTGGGATCTTGGGGAGCAGGGCCAACACTGAGGCTATCTCAGTGTCTCAGGCGGGCAGCGTGCGCCCAGCCCCTCACCCCCTCTCCCTTCCTTCAGGATGGAGGAGAGTGGGTCTGCCACAAGGGCAGAAGGACTCAGTTCTAACGGCTCACCCTCTCCTCTCTCCCGCAGGCTGTGTGAAGGCGTGGGCTCAGTCAACATCTGTAAGTCGGGTGTGTGCGTGGGCGTGGTTCTTCTGGGTGTCCATAGTCTTAGTATTGGGTTGCATCTCACTGGTGACTGAACCTCTGTCCATGGGGCACTGGGCGAGGGAGATAGGAGCTGAAGTCTCTGGGATCTGGAGAGAAAGATGGCCCCAAGTTGGCCCCTACATGGATCCATGTGGAACATCCATGAAGCCTAAGCAAATGAATGTGGCAAATTCTGATCTCCTAATTGTTCTGCAGATAGAGCCTAAGTCGTTCAATGACACACAGAATACTCCTCAAGAGGCTCGATGTTTCAGTAAGAAGAAGCACCACATGTACATTCTGATCAGCTGGGGCCCCTGCAGGCAACTCTGAAATCTGTATCTTTAATAATCCAGTGTGTACGCAGCCCCTAGGCTAGGTGTCTATTTCCATCACCTTTCCAGCAACCGTATTTCCAGATGGTGGCTCTTTTGTGATCCATCAGTTTTTGCTCGAAGATGTATAAACACTTCTCAGCATTAGTCTGGTTCAAGTAAAGTTAGGTGTGCAATTTGGTAACTCCATTCCTTCAAGAAGCAGATGGCAATGGGTTTAGGTTTGACTGTAGTTTTAAAAGATTCATGTTGCTGGTCCCTTGGAGTGTGAAGAGAATTAATCATTGGTTCCAAAAATTCCTGGGTCATACCACGTCTGGGATAGAACAGAATTCTGACTCGGTGTCTCTGTCCACAGGTGTGAGCCGTTCCCAGGGTGCTGTGGCCTGCGGGGACCTCAGCTCGACCGTTTCTCGTGGCCTGGGGGGCGTAACTGTCAGCGGCGGTGCCCTCTGCTCCTCCTCTGGGGTGGGGGCCTGCTCCACGGCAAGATCTGTGCGGTTTGCATAGTGGGGGGATGGATGGCGTTTGATGAGGGGACGGGAGGGGGACGGGAGGGGGAAATGTGTCTCTCCCAGGCCCCGATATTAGTTTAGCAATTTCCTGTTACTGGGAACCTGGAGCTAATAGTCCAGTTTTCTTCTTACTGGAATTACGATTTAACCTTTGAGTGCAAACCCTGGACTTGGCATTATTGCCGCCTCTGTTGATTCTCCCCTCCCTGTGGTCCGGGAAAGGGACGCAAAGGCTTTTTGATACAAACTGCTTAGCCACTTTCTTCCCCAACTAATTCAGGTTAGCAGACCTTACTAAGTACTGACCGTGGGCCAGGCCCTCTGGGAAGGGAGCCCTGTGGCGGGATGGCGGTGCATGGGGGCACCTCTGTGCTCGCCCTCGGACGAGGGGCTGTGCATGCTGCCACACCGTGGAGGGGGCTGCAGGGGCGCTGGGGCTCCAGGAGGCCCTCACTCAGTCTTAGAGATTGTGTGTTCCCAGAGCATCCCCCAACTATTCGTATGTCAGGATGGACAGATTGACTGAGGATAACTGGCTGAGGTTTCTGTTGGTGGAGGTTTGGAATTTTACTGTATTTGGGTGATTCACGTTGTGGCTCTTTCTCTCGTTTTTGGTGCGCATGATTAAATGGCGATGGTGAAAGGCTTTCTCCTGGTAACCAGGTGCGTGCCTGCCTCCTTCCTTGTCCTCCCAGCCCACCCAAAGCCCTGATTGTCTCGGTGCTTCTCCAGGCAGGGTCCACGGACCACGACCTATGACCCACGTCAGGATCCCTGGGGGGACTTGTCACACCTGCAGATCCTGGGCTCCATCCAGAACTACTGAATCAAAAGTTCTAGGGGTGACCACAGGAATCTGAACGTACACGGGCTCCCAGGTGATTCCCACAGGATCTGAAGTTTGAGAACCACTGGCGTATGGGCCAAGGGAACAGGAGGGTCAGAAAGTTCTGGCCGTGGAGGTGACTTTTCCTCCGATTCTCACAGGATCACATCATCTCTTTGCATTTCTCCTTTGACTTTGCCAAAAGATCAGAACCCATCTGGGCCACCCATGCCGGGGCAGAGTGGGGCCAAAGATAGAAAAGAAGAGGAGAAGGGAGCCTGTAGTCACAGCACCTGCTAAGTGGCTGGCACATCATATGTGTATTTCATTCATTGCTCACAGCAACAGTATTATCCTCACTTTATAGATAAGGAAATCAAGGTCCAGAGAAGTTAAGTAACTTTACTAAGCTCATATGGCTAGTCCTGGATCCAAACTGAGATCTGGGGAATGCCAATGTTCACACACTTCCTGCTGCCTTACCCCAGCTATTCCTTCAGACTAAGCATCCCAGCTCATCAGACGCTCCCAGATGAGGGAGTCTAACACTTCACAGGTAAGAGATGGAGGTGACATAAAGGAACCTTCTGGAAGCATTTGTAGAAACATCTCCCCAAAGCCTCTGCTGGTCAAGAATCTTGGACGATTTTATTATGGAGCAATTAATACAGGCCTCTTATGTGGGAACCCAGAATTAAAACTCAGGGCTGGTGGATTTCCCCTGATGGCCTAGGATGGGGGCAATCGAGTGGGGAACTCTGTTTTGTCCTCTTCCGAAACTGACAATCCCCAACAAGTCCCACCTGGAGAAGTCTGTTCAGAGACCTCTCTGATGCAAGCGTGTCCCCCTGGGTGTGAGGACGTGGAGACAGGGGTTTCTGAAGGACAACTTTCTTTCACCTGTTTTACAGGAAGAACTCTACTTTTCCCATCTTGTTTTGTTTGGGGCAAAAAAAAAAAAAAAAAATGGTTTAAAAAAAGACCTGACTGGGTGGAAGGTATTTTGCCACAAGAATACATATTTGATCTCAAGACTTAGAAAACCCTTTGAGCAGTTGCCCCGGGCAATGCAGTAGTCTGATGCCTCCAGAATGTGTCCCCAGGGGGCACATCGGCCCCTGGGTCCCAGGAGAACCAAGGTCTTGTTAGTATAGTGTTCTCCTCCTCTCTGACTCCTGGACGGAGAGGGTCCCAGGGGCTACATCCTGAGTGCATCACCGTCTGGATCCCACCAAGTTTGAGTGGGGGTAGGACTAAGTTCAAGGCGCCACCAGCCCTGCTCTGAGGAGGGAAATGGGTCCCACGGGGCACCTGCTGCCCTGGAGGCGGAGGGTGGGGTCTGCACTTCCTTCTGAAGATGGTGGTGGAGGGTGTATTTACATGTTTGTGCCTGGTGTTGTCTCCATTTTTAATGCAGAAGCTCACACTGTGAGTGCTGCCCCAGCTCCACTCCCTGCTACCCAGCTCTCACCACCCCATCCAGTAGCGCAAAGGGAGTCAGAGCGGGCACGTTGGGGACCTCTCTGTTTCTGAACAAAGCAGAAATGGGCAGGGATTTCCAGGAGCACAAAGGGATGTGGGGAGGGTGGGGGGCAGGGAAGTGGTGTGAGGCAGCTGTGAGCTGAGCCTCTTTCCCCTGCAGGTGCCCCCACCCAAGGAGAGCAAAACGTAGTGCAGGGGTCCTCATCACTCTAATTCTCAATGAACAAAACGCTCAGTACAGTCACCCCTTAATGTCTGTATCCTCAGAAAGCAGCAGGGGTGTGAACATGCAGACAAAGGGCAGTTCCCAGGTGGTCGTTTCCGAGGTCCATGTCCATTGCAAAGAGGGACACACTTTGGCTTGAGTTTCTCACTATGCTTGGCTCTAATGAGGAATGACACCAATTTGTATTTTCTGAGATTCCCAAAGACTGAAGCAGGGAGCAGTTGGAGATACTGGGCCGGGGGAAGGAGCCGGCTGGGAGTGGGTCCGAATTTGTGAGGACAGTTCAAGGCACAGGGGCTTTGAGACTTTGTGGAGGCCTGCTTGTGGCCTCTGAGATGAAAGGAGAGGATTCCAAACCCGGGCTGACCTGATGTTTTGAAAGGACCATCCTCCGTACTTCCTAACCCTTTCGGGACCCTGTGTACGTTGTGGGGGACACTGACTATTCAGATGGGAGCAGAGTAGACAGAAGGTCTGATTTTCTCTGACGAAGGTCTCAGCTTGGTTTGTGGAGTTTCGGAGGAAACAGGCGCCAGGCAGGAACCCCTCGCACGGGCCCACCTGAGTGTGGGGCCGCTCGCTCTTCCGGCTTTTCCCTGCTCTCTCCATTTCAGACACCTGGACTTCTCCTTTGTAAGTTTTTTACTAATAAAAGTTTAATCCTTAGTTACCCCTGGATTGTACCCTTTGCTCTCTGTGGGAATAGCTCTTTTATCAGGGCTGTGGGAGCCCCAGGATCCTTTGATCCAGAAGAGCTCGCTCTGGATCTTTGCTGTGGGCTGTGAGGACAGCTTGGGGAGGGGACTCCTCCCATAAGCCAGAGGTACCTGGGGATGGCAAGTCCCTTGACTCATCTTTGCACACAAAACACGGAAACTTATTAAAAAGCTTATTAATGTCTGCCAGCTCCTGGCTGTTTGACTTTTCAAGGCATGGTGTTGTATTTTCGGGTTATTCGATTTGGCATTTTAGTTATGCTTGGTACCAGACCATGGTACCATCAAGTTGTTTTCCCTAAGCACAGACTCACTCCAGCATCCAGAACCACAGTGGGTGCTAGGGCTGGAAAGGGCTCAGCCCCCTCAGCTCAGACCCCCGGGGTTGACGCCCAATGCCTGGGGGCCTTGCTGAGATATGGCGTGTTGATACCCAAATGTCCATCTCCTGACTTTTCAGTCCCTGAGAGATGTAACCTTTCCTGTGGATGAATGATGGGCCCTAAATTGAACCTTGGCTCATTGTGATTATGACCACGCCCTCAAGGCCCAGACAGGTGGGAGAAGGGAAGGGACAGGCAAGAAACTTGGACGAGGCCTGTCTGGAGTCAGCCGGCAAAGCTCAAACGGCAGCAGCCCGAGCGCTCAGAAGAGGCCAGCAGCCCCTTTGGGCCTGAATTGAGGATTCACCAGAAGGCACAGGGCCTTAACTTCTTCTCCCAGGGAAAGGCTAGGGGGTGGGGCAGCAGACAGGGCTGGCAGATGGATGTCTGCCTGGAATAGTGACAGGCAATTTGTTCTCCTAACAGAGAAAAAGAAGTGAGTCCAAGAGGGCTGATGTCTATACCTCCTGCTCTACCAGCTGCCTGAGTTTATCCAACTGTGCCAGGCCTGACATGTCCTGGAGCCCCATCCTGGGACTTAGTGGAGGCTCCGAGCCAGGAGGAGACACTTCCTGCCCCTAGGGAATCTCCAGCCTGATCCAGGTTCAGGAAACACACATTGACATCCCTGGCTCCGAGCCACAAAGACAGAAGCAGAGACCCTCAGGGTTCTAGACGCTGTGGGGGTGGGGAGGAGGATGTGTATGAGTGGGAGGGAGGGCAGGCAGGGGGAGCAGAGAGCAAAGGCAAATGAGAGGAGGGCGTGAGGCAGCCTGTGTGTCCCCGAGGAGTGGTCCTGGGCAGCCGAAGAGGGTGGACTTGTCGCCATGGGGTGGAGCCCACATCTGGGAGGATCAGGGCTGGGTGGTGGGGCTGTACAGGGTGGAGGAGCAGCTGGGGAAGAAGAGACTGGAGGAGCCTGCATCTGGCTTAAGGAGCACACATTTATGCGGGAACTGGTTTGAACCAGGCGGGAGGGTGTGAGAGCAAGGAGTTTGGATGGGGTTCCGGATGCTGGGGGTGTGTGGGGTGGGGCCGGGGAGAAAGAGATCACGGGGGCAGCTGGGGCTGTAATCCAGGCCTGAGGGGACCGAGGAAGCTGAGCCGGAATCAGGCTACGGGAGTGGACAGGAAGAGGCAGGATCACTGGGGGGCTGAGGAAACACTGCATGGGGCTGGGAGGGACTGGCCAGCTGGAGATGGGGCAAGAGGGAGTTGAGCATGGGACACGCTGGAGGCGACGGAGACATTGTCGTTCGCAAGATCACATATCCTTGCATGGCAGCAGCATTTATTGAAACACAGATTGAGACAACCCAGAAGGCAAGGTACCCACAGACAGTCGTAACCAGAGGGAGACCCAGGAAGTGGCCTGACCTTCTCCATCCCACCCGCTCTGCACTGGACAGACCCCGCCCCTGCGCCGGCAGGGGGAGATCTGGAGCAACCACGGAGTTTTCTCTGAAATGTTTAAAGGTGCACTGAATAGCGAGAGCTGTCCAAAATCAAAAGGATTCCCCCCCATAATGGGCCCCTTAACTGGGAGGTCACATGAGGAATTTGGCTGGAACACGTTAGCCCAGAAGAAGGCAGTCCGTCAGAGAGACAAGCAAAACACGAAATAACCACCTGGCAAAAGCTTCCTGCAGAGATCTCCCCAGCCAGGAGAGGGCAGCTGCTGGAGGTGGGGTGGGGGGCTTCCTCTCTGTTTGGTTCTCAGGTGGTGGGAGACGCGGCTGGATAGTTGGGCTCATTCCTTGTCCAGGGGAAGGCCAAGCTTCCATGATGTCCAGGCACCCTGGGTGACTAGTAGTGTCCCAGAGAGCTTGATGGATAACACGAATTGGCCACAGGTATTCTGGAGTCAAATTGGACTTAAGCGAAAGGCAGGGAATGACTCTCTAACTGAAGCTGAGGAGAACTAGGAAGCAACGCCCTAAAATGAGGAGGGGACGGAGAGTGGCCCCAGGGTTTTTCCCTCTGTAGGAACATGTGGAAGATTCTGGAAGCAAGCACACATTTTCCATTCACACACCATCCCGAGCTTGGCAGATGCAGGCGACCCCGGGACTCTACGCAAAGCGGACCGACCGGCTGCTCCCGCAGCTGAAGCTGGAGGAGCGGGGCTGACAGGGGGCGCAGGCGTCGGGGGCCAGCACGCTGATGCTGCCCCCCGTGGCCGAGGGGCCAGACACAAGCTGCCGCCCCGGGGTGGTGCTGAACGTGAGACCCCCACAGGAGACTCCACCGCGGGAACTGCTGACGCCTGTGGGGAGAGAGGGGACAGGGAGGGGTGAGTGGCCTGCCGTGAACTCCCCAACCCCATAACAGGCCCTAAAGGGCTTCTGCACTGCAGGAGCTTCCTCCTCCTCAAAGGGGTTTAGCAGTTCATGACTCAGGCCCTGTTCCTCTCAGCATCTCAGCCCTTCCAGGGGACCGGGGCAAGACGCCAGGACCCCGGACCCAGAGGGGCAAAGCCACCTTGCCCCATTTCCACGGCCTGCAGCTCACACTGCCACCAGGGAAGGGCGCTCACCTCTGCTTTTCCTACCCCCCTTAAGGCTCCCCCATGAGGAGCCAGGGGAGGCTGAAAGGCCACCTCCCATTTGGGGAACATTCCAGGTTCAAAGGGTTAGGCTGTCGGGTTCAACTTTGCCCAGCGACAAAGCCATTTTTCTAGGGGGGTTTTGAGCGGATACTCACAGACATTCACGGAGCCCACACCTTCGCACAGCCTACGGGGAAAGAACACTCCGTTAGCCCCAGCCGCTGAGCAGTCATCCTTGAGGTGGATGGTGGCTCGGGGACAGAGGGCCCTCCTGTGTACAGATCCTACCCCTGAGTGGCAGGAAGGGCTCCCCAAAGTCCGTGTGAAATGCTCACTGTCTTTCTGTAACCATTCTCTGACCACGGAGACAAGGCCTTCTGGTTTTCGGCAGAGATGGGGGAGGTGATGAACTCCACCACCGCCTCCATTCTGAGTGGCCCTGCCCACTCTGGGTGGTTCCATTAGGCTCACAAACAGGAGAGCGGAGTGAAATGCTTGTGTGTGTGGAAGGGCTCCGTGCCAGTGAAGAGCTAGGTGTGCAGAGAGCACATTTCCTATAACACGTAAGGCTGCACGGCAGGCCGAGCTGCAGCCTTGTGTAGCAAGCTAGTCCAAGAGAACAGATTTCAGAGACAGGTGACATACATGCAGGGCTTGGCTCCTGCATTTAACTGTGTGGCTATGAGAAAGTCATTGAATGCTGAGCCCTCTTTCCTTGTCTTTGGTTAAAAAATGATACCCACCTCATTGGGTGGCAAGGATTAAAATGAGCACCTAGCATGGGTCTTGCATATAATAAGTATTCGATAAGTTCTTCTTCTTGAAGCTTGACCTGTACTAGCAGTGGTCAGCTATGTAGCTCACACTTGGGCTCAGGGAAATGCACTCCCAAGGACCAGTGCCTCTACCTTCCATACCCACAAGGTCCCCCTTAGCCCACCTGTGCTCCTCGCCCTCCAGCAGGCGCCTATAGGTGGCGATCTCGATGTCCAGGCCCAGCTTGGCGTTCATCACCTCCTGGTACTCCCTGAGCAGGCAGGCCATGTCCTGCTTGGCCTTCTGCAGGGCCTCCTCCAACCCGGCCAGCTTGCACTTGGCGTCGCTGAGGGCCGCCTCGCCCTGCTGCTCAGCCTCGGCCACAGCGGCCTCCAGCTTGGCCCGCTATGGGGGAGGAGATGTGAGGACAAGGGTGAGAGAGAGAAGGCCGGCTTGGCTCAGCTGAGCCGATGGAGCTGGGTCAGGGAGAGGGGTCCCAGAGAGAAGAGAAGGTGGGTTAGCTACCTGTGACCGGGTAGTTAATGGGACTGTGAACGTGGGGAAGGGCATGGGAGCACCATCTCTCCTTGGCGGTGGTCATGAGGGGGCCAAGGAGGGGACGTCAGTGATGCAGCTCATCGTGGCTTGAGTGCTGCGTGATGTGGTAGAGCCCCTGCCCTCGCTCTGGGTCCCTGCTTCCTCATGGGCACCCTGTGAGGCCTGATAGGGGCCAGGCCTTTGTCACCCTGGGGGCAAAGGGCCCTGCGCTGCCGTCTGCCTGTGCTGGGTGTTGGAGCCCTCCCTGTATGCTACCTGGCCCTTGGCATTCTCGATCTCGGCAGTCAGCCTCTGGATCAGGCGGTTCAGCTCGTTGATCTCCTCCTTGGTGCGGCGCAGGGTCTCCCCGTGCCGGACCACCGTGGCCTTCATTTCTTCGCACTGCGGGTAGGCAGAGAGGCTCCTGAGGCTCAGGATGGGACATCCCACCATTCAGGACATCAGAGATGATAGTGCAGGTTGTACAGTGCTCAGCCTGCATAATCATACCTGGCAGCCCTGCCCTGCCACCCAGACTGAGAGCTGTCTGCCTTTCTCTTACCATCCCTAAAGATCAAAATCTCCCGAAAAAAGAAGCCTTGCTAACATCCACCTCGCATCCCTCCCACTGCTGTGTCAGGAGGCAGCTGCTCCGTGCCACTCACCTTGCTGCGGTACCAGGACTCGGCCTCGGCCCGGCTGCGGTTGGCGATGTCGTCGTACTGAGCCTTGATTTCGGCCACAATGCAGTCCATGTTGAGGTCCCGGCTGTTGTCCATCTTGACGATGACCGAGGTGTCTGAGATGTGGGCTTGGAGGACGCGGATCTCCTGGGGGACCAACAGCCAGTGCAGTTGGTTCTGGTGCCCGCATTGGGCCATGTGTTCTAGGCCTGGGGACAAGGTCCACTCCCTGGAGGGGGCTCTGGTCAGGCATGTTACATGACCGCTGTCCACATGCTGCGCCCCCCACCATTCACACATGGGTACGTGATAAAACAATAAAGCTGGAGGGGACCCTAGAGGTCAGCTGGGGATGCCCCCGACTTAACAAATGGGAAAACTGCAGCCCTGTGTGTGAAAAGGCTTGACTCAGAGTCGCTCAGCAGAGGCCTGGGGTTTGAATGTCAGGACCAGTGATTTGTCTGTTAATTAAGAGCCCTCTCTAACTGGAAACCTACTCTGACCCCACCCCTATGTACACACTTTCCTATCTGTGTATAGACCGTTGTGTACGCAGACACACACCTGTAACCCACAGAGGAACTCACGACAATGAGACCCAACACGCACTCCATGTCCTCAGACACGCATGCCAGGCTCTCCCTGGGCTCACACACACATGACAGCCACATAACATGCCCCTCTTGCATGTGTGTGCATGTTCTTCTCATGCTTACATCACCCATGGGGCGGACACGTGCACACACGCACCCTCGTCCATCTCCCCCAGGCCTCCCCTGTTCCCCTCCACCTGCCCTGGAGGGTTGATGGGGCCCCTCACCTCGTCATAGAGGCGCTTCAGGAAGCTGGACTCCTCCACCAGGGCCTCCACGTTGGCCTCCAGGTCTGACTTCCTCAGGTAGGCGCAGTCCACGTCCTGGTGGTGGCGGGGGGGGAGGCGAAGAGGAGAGGGCGTGCGTATGGGAGGCGGCCCAGGGAGGGTGCCTCTGTGGTCCCTGGGGTGACCGGGCCCCCCCACTGGAGTTTGCACAGATGGGTCCCCCTCCCTCCCCGCTCCATGACCAGCCCCCTCACCTTCTTTAGAACCACGAACTCGTTCTCGGCTGTGGCTCTCAGAGCCACCTCCTCTTCATACCTGGGTATAGGAGAGAGGGGCCGGAGCTGAGGGCGGGGGCCTGGAGACCATCCCAGCTCCCCAGCAAGCTCTTCCGGAAGTCCAAAGGGATTAACTCCCTGCAAATGTCATCCTCTCCATGACCTGTTCTGTGCATTCTCATGGGCTAGCCCTCGTCCCAGCCTGGCTTATTCCACCCAGTCCTGCAGTCTCTGAGATGAGATCAAGGAATGCACGCTCCATCCCCCAAGCCTAAAATCATCCCTGCTTCCTAGATGCAAAGAGAGCTGGTGCCACAGGCAGGGAGAATGCAGAGCCTGTGTCGTAAAGGTGAGTGGAAGGAGCAGGGAAAAAAGATTGCTGTAGGACCACACTGGCATTCTTTTCCTCACTTCCCCTGAAGCTCTAAGACCCACCGGGCCTCACAGAGGTAGAGTTGGAGCTGAAGAATCTGCAGAAACCTAAACCACTACTGGACATGTCCTCGGGTTCCAGGCAGCCCCTGTTGCCAGGCAGGAATCCTAAAGATGCTGCTTCCAGAGGGTCGTGGGCGGAGCCTTCCCGCTTCCCGGTGATCCCCTGGTTGTGTGCACTCACCTCTTCTTGTAGCCCTCCAGCACCTCCTGCACGTGGTTGAGCTCAGAGGCCAACCTCCCGCTGTCAGCCTCCACGCACTCAGCCTCCCGCCGCAGCGTCTCGATGTAGCCACTGAACAGCGGCTCCAGGTTGCTCTCGCAGCAGCGCTGGTTCTGGTAGAACTGCCACTTGGTCTCCAGCAGCTTGTTCTGCTGCTCCAGGAAGCGCACCTGCCATTCAGGGTGGAGGAAGAAGACTCAGGGGGAGTCGGCCAGGTGCCTGGTCCCCCGGAGCCCTCTCTGGCCTGATGCTCCCTGAACCGCCGGGACCAGCCAAGGACTGAACCGTGGGGTTGAGCGTTGGGACCCAAGGAGCCTGGGTACCAGCCCCTGGGGAGGCAGTGCAATATCTTTATCAGTATCTGTATCTGTATCTATCTCTTAATTTCATTCAATTCTCACAATCCTTTGGGGGGAGATATTATTCCCTCCATCGTACAGACTGGAAAACTGAGACCCAAAGTGTGAAATGACTAGCTCATTGTCATCCCATCAGCAGGTGATGGAGTCAGGATTTGCTGTCCTGTGGGTCCCCTCACCTGCCCACCACATACGTCTAAGTAGCTCATCTAAATTCTCTCAACTCCAATTTGTTATTTGACAAATGGAGATAATGATACCTACCCCACTGGGGCATTTCGAGGATTAACTAAGAGAAAGTGATGACAGGAAGGTCAGTCCTGCCATCCCCATCACCCCGGACCCCAGACCCCAGAGGCTGGTCCCATCTACTCTGCGGAGTGAGGCCGCACAGATGCAGGAGTGAAGGGAGCAGTGTAGGAGGCCTTATCGGGGGACAGGCTCGCAGCAGAGTAGTGTTTTTTCTGCATCACTGGGCCTCCTCCTGCCAGCCTGGCCACCTTGCCGTCCACATTCCCAGCCCCCTACCCATGAACGAGGCTGCCAAATCTGGATTCGTTAGTTGTCACACCTCCCCATCCACTACCGTTCTTGGAAAATAATACTAACAGCTAGCATTTATCGAGTGCTTACTGTGTGCCAGCACTTTTCCTGCATGAACCCACCAATCCCCACAACAAGCACAGCGGCCAGTTCCGTCAGCCAGACGAGTATCATGCTGGGGTCCCACATGCCAGGGCAGGGATGGGGGAGGCAACACGGTGCCAAGCGGCGCCCCCGACACTTCCTGAGCTGCCTAGGCCACAGGCCACGTACCTTTTATTCTTCCCATTAACTCCCACTCTTCCAGCACCCAGGGCCCAGGCCAGTTTTTCAGGAGCAGCTCTGATATTCCCGTGTTGTCTTCTCTCCGCACATACACACACACTTTAGACCACACACTCAATTTCTGGACTGCTGGGGGCCCTCAATACACTTTGCTGGAATTGGAGGATGAAAACCGGTCCTTCTGCCCTTATTGGTATGCATTTCCCTCTCTCTGCTGTCTGAAATGTGGCTGCCCTGCTGTCTCCGGGACAGATTGGGATCTTCCCCAGGGAGGGCAGGGCTGGGGCCCTCTCTGGACCATCCCGGGCCTCACTGACCTTGTCGATGAAGGCAGCGAACCTGTTGTTGAGGCTCTTGATCTGCTCCTTCTCCTCGTGCTTCACGCCCTGCGCGTTGGGGTCGATCTCCAGGTTGAGGGGCGCCAGGAGGCTCTCATTGACTGACACCGTGGTGATGCAGGGCGGGCTGGGTCCGCACACACCTCCGGAGCGGTATCCGAAGCTGCGGCCGCAGGAACCGGCCCGGAAGCCGCCCACAGCGATACGGGGTCCGCAGGAGCCCAGGTTAGAGAGGCTGCGGCTACTGAAGCCCGTCAGCCCCCGGTAGCAGGACACCCCCCGGTAAGGGGCGGCGCTGATGCAGCAACGGCTGCCAGTTTTGGGGGCCACAGCCGAGCAGGAGCTGAAGGTCCGGGTGACACCACATCCTGAGCTGATCCTGTAGGAACGGCAGGACATCTTGTGTGTCTGAGCAGAGGTGAGCACAGCGGGCGATGGTGAGGGCTGCGGGGTGCACGGCTTAGGATCCTTCTGGCCTCTCTGATCCTCCCTGGTCCTTTTATTGGTGGGGAGAGCTGGGGTTGGCTGCATAAAAGGAGTGAAAAGCCATTTTATGTTGTTTATGGGCTTGGGGAGTTTGCCAGCAACTCCCCAAGGACTCGTCTTAAAGGTGAGCTCAGCGGCGACTCCGGGACTCCGTAAAGGTATTGAGGATGTTATTAGGGACACTGTGCGTTTGCACTTTTCATCTTCAAAGCTCGTTTACATACATTAAGTAATTAATTTTCTCGCAATCGCCTTGTGAGAGGGCCTCAACCCACACCTGGAGACGGGTTTGAACTCCACAACAGTCTGAAGGGGCTGGGTTTGGGGCAGAGGCTGGGGCCACCATCTCTGGAGAAGTTCGAGGGTCCCAAGTCGGGTGAGACCACGAGAGGTCGTTACCTCTGACGTCCTGGCTCCGTGCAGGACACATTCTCAAGTAATTGTGTTTCAGGGGCCGATGCATCGGGTTAGTCCGGACTGCCCCAGGCGGCATCGCCTGGACGGTGGTTCAGGTCCAGAGGGGCCCTTTTGACCAAGCTCCCTGCACGACAGGGGGAAGGAGCACATGGCCTCTTAGAACTTTCTGGATTCCAGCCCAAAAGCCCTTTGTTTCTCACCCACCAAAACTGCAAGCCACTCAACTGTCGGTGGCCACAATGACAGCCACTTGTGGGTAATGGGAGACCTCCCCCTAGGCACTGTCTTCCACTGGCCAAAAGGATGAGAGAACCCAATCCTGGGATAACCGGGCTGCTGTGAACTTGCTCTGGGCACCTTCCCTTGGCTCTTGAAGAAGAAACAGGTCCTGTAAGGATTCCTTCCTTCCAAGACCACCAGCCAGAGGAGGTACTCATCCTGTTCGCCAGCCCCAGGACTACCACCCCTGAGGAATGTTCAGAGATGGGGGTGGAAGGTGGCTTTTCTCTTCTGAAGACACTGATTTCTGGCTCCCTGGGGCTCTGGGATTCTGGTTCTTTCTAAGTCCCTGCTTCCCTGTGTGTCCTGGGGCCACTTATTAGGATAATGATTGCTATTCTTTTACTGTTCATTAAGCACAGACCTGGGGGCTGTAGTCTCTGACCAGGCCCCAGAGGTGTTAGAAACTTCAGGAAGGAGAGAGATGAGCTTCCTCCTAGAGTGATCACCCCTCGAGGGAGGCTCCCAGAACCAAACGCTGCCACCGCTGGGCCTCCATTTCCTGAGTCGTCCCTTCCATCCTGGCTCTGCCCTTGTCTCTACCGCCGGGCCCACCACAGGGCTTCGCCCAGCACAGGCTGACGGGTTTCTACCTCCACACCCCACGCCTGTTCTTCCGAGTAGGACGGAGAGCCTTGGGCGGCTGGCGGGGGAGGAGCAGCTAGCCTCACCAGCTGGCCCCAAATGATCTTCGGATCATGGTCATCCCTGCGGAAGCAGCTGAGACGTAGCACGCGGGCAGCGGAACCAAAGTTGGAAGACCCAGTTCAAGTGCCAGGTTGGATCCTTCTTAGCAATGTGGCTTTGGGGAAGTTCTTAATCTCCCTGAGCTTCCATCTCTGTGGCTGCAATGTGAGATTCATCCTTACCTTCCAGGGTTGTTTGGAGGCTCAAGTGGATAATACACAAGAATGTGCTTTGGGGACCAGAAAACTCTGAATAAAGGAAAGGGACTCTTTGTTTCCTATCAGAAACACCCCACCGGCCCCTGCACCCCTCAGCCGGCAGAGTGGGCCTGTTCCTCGCCCCATCTCTGTTCTTCGCCTCCTCCGCACATTTATGACTTCTTTACCCTTTCAAGGCTGCTTTTAATGTTTTCTTTAACCTGAGTTCACTAGTATAAGGATTTGGGGGGAATCTGGGGGTGGAGAGGGGAGGCTGCGTTGGGGAGCACAGGGGATGGTTGGCCAGCCCGCACCCCTCGGCAGAGGCTCTGCTGGCCTGGGTCCAGGGCTGCATTCCGGTGCCTTGGACGGTGAGCTCATTGACTGACAGTTGTGTAGACCTGGAACTGGTGCGATGTGGGCCAAGAGGGATTTAGGCCTTTTGAATGTAGAGGGGGTGGCAAGAGTGGGAGGTGGAGGATGGGTGGGCCCACCTTCTTCTCAACTCCTACAAGCCTCTGCTTCCTTCAGCTTGTTGAAGAGGATGGAAGCACACCCAGTTCTGCCCCTCTTTGGGAACAGGAGGGAGTGGAAGCCTTTTCCTGTAGAATGGCTCCTGTGTCAGCTGCTTCCTCCTGTCCCCAACACACACACACACATGCACACACACCCCTTCCCGTCCTCCACCCTGAGTTGAGCCTGGGAACTGAGGATGAGCAAGTGGATCCAGGGGACTCAAGAGACCTGGGAGAAACCCCACTGCTTTCAGAAATAAGATGCCCATCCGGGACCAGCAGAACTATCCAGGACAAGGGTGTGAGCACCTGGGCAGGTGTGTGGAGAGTGAGGATGGGCCCAGCCCGCACAGGGAGGTACTCATGGGCGCTGGGTGAAGTCTGTGCCTCTGCAGATGCAGCTGGGCCCAGGGCTGGTGGGTGAGCTCAGGATGGCTGTCCGGATGGTGCTTGGATTGGAGGGGCCGGCTGGAGAGGGAGGTCGAGTGCTCATGGGCTGTTCCCAGGTCGACCAGGGCAAGTGAGAACCTCACAGACCAGGCCAGTCTGGCACAGCTCCCTGGAGGGTCTGGGTACACCCAGGGAATCTGAGCCTTTGCAGTCTGGTCTGCCCAAGGGAGGGACACAGAACCCGTAGCCCCATGCCTGTCTCTACCCATCACCCAAGCACTCTGCCCCCTGGGACCACATCATTGTCCAGGTGCTGGCACTGGCCCTGGACCTCTCTGCTCTGGCCTCCTCCTCATTTACTGCCCTCCTGTGCCCGATGGCTTCCCTGAACGCTTCTCTCTCCCCCAAGTCTTCTCCTTGGTCACACTTTTGTCTGGAATGTCCCAGAACAACACGCCACCTCTCCCAAGAAGGCTTTTGAACTAGTCAGAGGGAGGCTGTGATTTCTCCTCCTCCCTCTCTGAGTGGGCAGCTCATAAAATGCCATTTCCAGGGCTCCCCAAAGAACTCCAATTATTCCCTTCCACACACCCTTGTCCTGGCGCTGTCATTTGCCACCGCCTTCGCTCCTGTCCCCTGCTGCCTCCACACCTTTTGAAGGCCACACCCAGTGTCGGGAATGTCCACTCAAGAACCCATGTCCATATTGTAATTTAAAATGCTCCCCAGAGGTCACTTCTTCCAGGAAGCCTTCAAGAGTTAATTGGGTGAGAAAGGTTCTTTGCCCCATCCTGGTGCCCCAGCGACTTCCACTCCATCCGACTCTGCTCCTTTCCTGGAGTCCATCTCCTGGGGTTTCCCCAGAGGCCACATCACTCACTCATGCCCACCCACGATGGTCCGTCCCCCTCCTGCATGTGAAGCTGAATGCTGGTTGGGGCCATGCTTGCTCTTCCTCACGCCAGCGGCTCACGACCTCCCTTCACTTCTGCCCTCTCTCCTGTGCTTGACTCCCCTGCCTCTAGGAAGGCTGTCAGGATTTGTCCCCAGAGAAGGAAGCGCTGACCCCTTCCCGCCCTGCCCTGTCTGTCCGTCTGTCTGAGCACTGCCTGCCGGCCCTCGCAGTTTTGTGTTTGCATCTGCCTGGGCTCCCGTGGACGTTCTTGCTGTCTTTGCTGGTGGCTGGTTCTCAAGAGTTGAGCTTGAGGGGTTCCCCACGGACAAGGCTTGTCCTGAGCACGGCCTTGGTTGCTGCCCACACAGCTCATTCAAGTCGGGCATCGCCCATCATCTCTGCTGGTCTTCCCCACACTTTATTACGTATCCAAGTCGATGCCACTCCCCGGTGCTAGGACACAGCTCTTGAAGGGTCTTCTAGCCCTGTGATGTTTTCTTTGGCTTTTTTCAAACTTGGGCATGACTCAGACCCCATGTGAGAGGAGGGAGGTCTGAGCCGCAGGGAGGAGCTGGATGGACCCTGGATCCTCCCCAGCAACTCTGGGGCCGTGCCCCTCATCTGTTGGCAAGGCCGCTCCCCCGGCTGCCCAATCCTCCCTCTCACGGGCTTCCCCACCAGGAGCTCCAAGAAACTGCAGTGTCCTCCCGAACCGTGTCCACACACCTTCCTGCAGGTGGAGGTCCCTGGTGGCTCTGCTGTTTCCCATGGCCACTCTGGTCAGAGCAGATGCTCAGTAAACACAGAGCCTCTAATTTCAGAATTCGACCGTATTAATGGTTTTGAAATTTTTTTTCTAGCACCATTTCCCTAACTCTTAGGAGGAAAACAGCTATCTAAAGCTGATTGTGGGTGCTATCAGCTAACTGATGCGGAGTAGGAGTGGTCATTTGAACCAGACCCCTGTGGCCCAGTGCCGGGCAGATACACAGGGCCTCTGTGCGAGTCCCGTCTCCCAGATGACTCAGCAGCAGGCTTCCCAGCACTGCTCAGGATGGCATGGCCAAGGAGTTCCTTCGAGGTCTTGCTTCTGGGGCACAGAGCTGTATAGACACAGTTATAAAAACAGATGAGAGTGACATGCTGGTCCCCTGCTTGCCCTGGCCCCTCTGCTCCATTCTCAACACAGTGGAGGGATCCCCTTAGAACCAGATTGTCTCACTCTTCTGCTCAAATGCCCGCGGATTCCCCATGTCACTCAGAGTACAAGATGAAGTCCTAGGGATGGCCGACAGGGCCCTGCACTGCCTGTCCCTGCTGTCACCTCTCTCACCTCATCTCCTTGCTCTCGCCAGCCATGTTGGCCTCCTGCTGCTCTGCAGACACACCTGGCACACTCCTGCCTCAGGGCCTTTGCACTGCCCGTCTCCTCTGTCCAGAATGCTCTTCCCTCACCACATGGCTTGCTCCTTGGCCAGTGGGGCTTCTGCTCAAGTAACTCCTCTCAAAGAGCCTCTTGCTCTGCCCTCCCCGCCCCCAGGGCGTTCTCCATCCAGCTCCCCTTGCTCTATTTCTTTTTTCCATAGCACTTAACACCTACTAACACACTCTACAACTGATTGATTGATTC